ACCATATTTATGCTCATAACCTGTACGGCTCATAACCTGACCCTCAGCAAGACCAAAGGCGCAAGCACTTCTTGAAATCATTCATGCATTCCTGTCAAAGAGAGTGCTCTCACGCTGCGGCTGCATGGTCCGGATTGAATGAACTATATATAGTTGGATACCAAAATTGCAAGAAGATGGCGACTCTCAAGGGCATAGGTCCAGAACCGATTCTGTTAACAATGCGTTATCTATCCAACACGCCCTGTTCGTCCTTTCTTGGTTTGTTTGTATGTTTGTTTGTTTGGTTGTATACGTCTGTCTGTTTGTTTGTTTGTTTGTACGTCTGTCTGTTTGTTTGGTTGGTTGGTTTGTTTGTACATAGTTTGAAAAGGTGTATGTGATACTTATTTAAAACATCACATGTGATTTGAACAAAAAACCTCTGCAACTATATAACAGTCATTCATATATGAAAAACTTATTTACGAATAGTTTTTAACGGCAGGTCGAGTTGCGAGAACGGAACGAACCCAAACAAACAGCGAACCCACACCAACACACACGCAAACACGCAATAACAAAAACAACCAACACAAACAAATAGAGGAATAGCGCCACGCACAAAAAGAAACAACAAACAACAAAGCGCAAACACGAGTAAACGCAACACCAAGAACGCAAACAAACCTGGGTTTTAGTTCCCCCAACGCCCAGAGGGGAGCCAGGCCTTCCATGGTATTGCGTTGGGGGGAGCAAACAAACATATTCGATGTCTCTATGTATAATTTAATCTATGTTATTCTAAATATTTTTATTACTATCAAAAACTACCTTATTATTTCATTCATATATATTTCATATTATCTATTCACAAATTTCATCCACTCGCTCTTTCCACACAAATCAAGTCGAGTCGAAAAACCCTACACATTTGCAGGGTGAGCGACATAACCCTGTTGGAGCACAAGGTGACATATAACCCTGCAAATTTTGCAAGGTCAAAACCTTTGCGGCATTATCAACGCCGTCACGCCTTCCTTTTTCCATGTCAGGACTCCTTGAACTGTTTCAGTAGGAACCCACACGGAATCGTGTTTGATTCTCAACTGGTTCTTTCCAGCAGTCTCCCATGGACTGATCATGCTCCAACATTCACCGGCCCTCACATGCAGATGAACTTGTCCATACACCACCTCACTTCCACTCGCACAGCGAACCAAATCGTCTCTCCTACAAGGTCCGAACTGGATACGCGCTTGCAACGCGTACTCCACAATGGTGTGGGCCAGGGACATGCCTGTGCAAAGTTCAAGGCTTTGCCTGACAACATCAGGCGCTGGTAGAATTGGTGGCTCCAAGCCCACATTGTGCAAAAGAGAGCCCTCCATTCCTTCCAGCCGTTGAAACTGTGCCAAGGATGTCTCCAACAACAGGTTCCGCGACCACTTGGCCTGGGCAGTCACTTATATCTTTGAACAAAAAAATGCAAAAACGAAGAAACACTTGAAGGACAATAATCCTATAAAGAAACTGTATATAGATCCACACTCAGGCGCATTCACATTGTGCGATGCAGTCCCATACAATTTCACGAACTTGTGGCGGCGTTCGTGCGTGAAGCAGCTGAGTAGGTAACCTTGAGAACGTAACAAAGGGCCCAAGTGCTGTGTGAAGTGATGTTTGGGCAGCACATCATCTTCAGAATAGGCCAGTTTGAAGTTGCGCAAGTGTTTCTGCGATAGCCGGCTGAGCTCCTGCGCAAAAAAAAACAATCCTTTGAGAAAACTATATCTGAACTAAAACATGAACCCTTGCAATTCTCGAATGAAAAAACCCTGCAGGGAAAACCACACTGACCGCTCCTCCGCATCTATCACCTTCCGCATTGAATGGTGTAACAATTCCAGCAATTCCACCAAGGAAATGAACGACACATATGCAGCAGAATTGTTCACTCACAGTGTGGAGATATAGTATCGCAGCGGCACGTAAAGAGACAAACACTGAGAGGCCGATGCTGTGAAGCCAGCAGGCTTTCCCTTGAATGCCACTGTGGCAGCTTTCGCCTCTGTTGCAAATTGACTCGGCCACGTCAGACCTGACAGGAACTGATGGATGTTCGTGCTGTCGAACCCATGCGCATGCAATGCCTTCATCGCAAGGTTCACCTGGCAGGGTTTCAAACACAGAACCCTGCGGACTTCATGGTCCCCGCAAGGTTTACACAGAACCTGGAAGTGTCAAAACCCTGGGCCCCCGTCCAAGGTTGAACTTCAGTCGCCTCCAATTGAAAGATGCCTTGAACGAGTAGGCAGTGCATCCAGTCCCACTGAACCATGGAAATTGGGCGCCAGGTTCTCCTCAACTCAAGATCAAACAAGCATCCATGCGTTCCAAAGTTCATGCCCAGACTTTGTTCCAACTGGGCAAACTCGCCCTTTCTGAGATGAGGCTTCTTGGCCGCCAGGTGGTCACACACCGACCACAACGTTTCATCACTATGTCGACGAAACCTGCCGAACTCGTGCTCGACATGGCTGACCAAGCCATCTCCATGCTTCCACAACTCAGATGCATGAAGAACGCAGTTGCGGCACATGATGCAACACTTGTTTCCAGAAGCCCCCTTGCACATCAGGGTCTGCTTCAAGGCGCCTTCGTCCGATATCATCAATCGGAGCTCCGCCTTGAGAATCCCAACACCCTCGATGTACACTCCATCCTGGAATCCTCCTCCGAGCCGCCGAAACACCTCCCTCATCAGCTGGGACAACCCGTCCTCTAGCCTCTTCACCTGATCGCTGGTCGCCACGGTAAAGGTGTTCCAGCACAGCTCACTGCCAAGGGCTTCTTCCAATTGCAGAAACGTCCAGTAAACTGCCCAGCACTTGCGAGAGCTAACAGCTCTCAGCACGTTGCCTGGCAGAACTTCGTCCGCGTACACGCAGATCTGCCAAGCTTGATCAACCGGCGAACACCAGGCCGCCTTGTGGCGCAAAGTCTCCCTGTACGCGCGGGGCTAATGCGCGCCAAATGGTCCACCGTCACAACAGGGTCAGCGTAGCAAATTGTGACAGGATTTCCGTCCTTTCCAGTGCAATGCATCTCCTTGACAAGGTCACCATAAATACCAGTCACCACAACTTCTTCCTCACGGCGCCGCTTCAAAGTGTAGCGAGAGGTGCTTTCGTTCAACAGCTCTGGATTATGCTTCACGCTTTCCAAAATCTTGGCCAGCGCAGAACTGGACACATACGAATTGCCAGCCAGGTTGGCCAACCTCTTTGGCGCCATCGCAATCTGACAAAGTATCTCTCCAAAACTCACGCGTTCTTCATGTTTGTGTTGCGTTTCATTGAAATGTGTCTCTCAAAAGCTCATGTGTTCCTCATTTGTGTTTGTTTTGTCACTTTATCAATGTTCCTTTGTTTTTCAATGTTCCTTTGAAAAACACCCTGGCAATGTCAATGTACACAAGCTTCAGACTTGGCACTGTCACTACGCATTCCTTGACATCGACAAATTCTGCATGAATATACCAACAATTGAAGCACACTGAGCAATAAGCTCTGGAATACAAACCCAACGATAAACGTTGGGTAAATGGAAGAGCGAACTGACAAACACAAGCAAGAAACAAGCCCATTTATGCCCATTTTAGGATTAAAGCTCAAAACCCAACAGTAAGCGTCAGGTATATACATGCAAAACACATTCACAAACACCAGCGCTGAAACGCTAGGTTGTGCAAAGCGCATCTCCTTTTCCATCAAGTCGATCGCAGTCACTTCTTCAAGGCTGCCTTT